GGACCTGCGCGAGCTGCTGGCGGCCTCGGTGGCGGCGGCGGTGCGCGGCGGCGCCGAGGTGCGGCGGGTGCGCGAGGGCGACGCGCTGCACGAGAAGGCCAAGGGCAAGACGCGCGAGGGCGCCGAGGAGAAGCTCACCAGCGGCGACCTGCTCTCCAACCGGCAGATGTACCACCTGCTCCGCGCCGCCTTCCCCGGCGTGCAGGTCCGTGCGCCGCGGCCCGGGCCCGGCCCAGCGGGACTCCGGCTCCCAGCAGCCGTGCGGGCCGGGCCGCGCGCGGACGCCCCGGGCAGCGCCTGCGCGGCCGGGCTCTTGCGGCGCGCCTGGGGGTGATGGGAGTCGCGGCCGGCCGCGGCTGGCGGGTGCCAGGCGGGGGGGGGGAGCAGGAACATGGGTACTAGGGTTCTGGGTCCCCGAGTGTACTTGGACTACGACTCCCGGCAGCCCCGGAATGAGCGGGCCGCGGTCCAGCGGCAGTTAGAGCACGCTGGCTCGCGCGGGGCAGGAACGGGGCTCCCCCGCTTGGGGTCGGTTTCGCAGGCGCAGTGGGGCTTAAGGTCCTAACAGCCCTGGGGATGATGGGAGCTGCAGGCCAGGCCCCCTGGCCTCGAGGCTTGGAGCCCTTCCAGAGATTGCTGGGCTTAGAGCTCCAGGCAAGCCAGGCCACCGGCCGCGAATACTGGGGCCCCGAGGGAGTTCAGCATCTGGGAAAGCACAGATTCCTCATTGCCTCGCTCCCTGGCGTCCTCCAGGTGGGGGCTGCAATTCCTGTAGCTCCTCCTCGGTCCATCTGCCACTGGCCTCATGGTTCAGCCTTCTGCAAACTGGTGCCCTTCCCCGTGTTGCAGCTCCCAGTATTCACAGGTCCCAGCACATGGGAGGCTGTAGCTCGGAGAAGTCCGATGTCGTTTAATCCCCTCCCTTGATTAAGACAGATTCCCAAAGACTTTCCTGGCCTACAGCTTGAAACCTCCCGTGATGGAGAGCCCACCACCCCTTTCAGCAATTAATTCCATCGTTCAGTTGTTGCCGTCTTAAGAACTTTGTCCTAATGTTCAGCCAAAATCTGCATTTCTGTAACTTAAGCCCATTAACTCTAGTCTGCTTTCCTAAAGCGAAGGAGGACAAGGGATTCCTTTCTATATGGGGCTTCAGCTATTTCAAGAGTGCCTTCGTGTCCATGTCCCATCTTCCCCAAGCAAAGCATGTTTTCCATAATGTGAATCATTTTCCTTAAATATGTCCTGTGGGCTGCTGCCTCTCCCTGTTTTCCTCTTTTCTAATTTATAGAAATCCTGTCCTTTAGTAGTTAACTGTTGCCTCTAGTAATGTTTTTGATTTATTTCTTGCATTTTTAATGCAACCAGTAACAAATGTATAGTGGTTTACAAACATCTGAAACAATCCAGTCCAATTGAAAACCATGACGAGAAGATACAAAGGTAGAAAACCAGACATAAGCCTTTTAAATGCCATATCTTTAGTGCAACTAATGTCTTTTTTATAGAAATATAACAACGTTGGTGCCAGATGGAACCTTCTTGGGAAGGGTGTTCCATCAACACCCTTCCCAAGATGTTCCTTTTATACCCACCTGCCTAACTTCCTTTGAGGGGCCATCTGGAGGAGGGCCTCTTAAAGGACCCAAAAGCCTGAGCAGGTACACACAGGAGATGTTCCCTGAGACACTCCTGAGTCCAAGCTGCTTAGGGTTGGAGCATTTCATAGCAACACTTTGACCAGGGCTCCAAAAGGACCGGGAGTCCCGCACAGCAGGCAGAGTGCCCTGTGATCTTCCAAGTTGGTAGCCCAGCAGCTCTGTTTTGAACCAACTGAAGTTGATGAGCCAACTTCAGCAGCAACCCCACATACAAGACGTTGCCGTTAGGAAGCGTTGGGACATCCTGGGCGCCTCAGGAAGGCCCTTGCTAGCCCAAGATATGAGAGGCCCGTTTCTTCTTTCCCCCTCGCCTGCCCTCCCCGCCACAGAGGACGATTTCCTCTCCCATACCACTTCTCCAGGACCTGCCTTCTTCTTCTTCGGCATCCTGACATACCGCAAGATTGCATAAACTGCAATTGGTCCATCCCAAGAAAATTTTTCACATTCTTTTGCTCTGCCAAAATGTTCAGACCTTCTGACTTGGATGCTATGTTTGCTGTCTATAGAACACGAGACATTGAACTTTAAGGGGAAAGGCATTGCTTTCACTGGTGGGACAAATGTCTTTTTCTCTGAAGAGCTCAGAGCACTGTACTGCTACTACTCCTGATAATTCTGTGATATAAGCAGTACCTGTTAAGTATTCCAAAGGCTGTGTAACGTTATCTCTGGAACCTTATGCTATCTCTGTAAAGTAGAACTGTGTTATCCTCATGGTGTAGATGGCGTCTGAGCCTAGTAGCTTCGCTGAGGCAATGTTGAGCAAAGCCCTCTGTCCTGATACGGTGTATTTTCTTCCCAGAAAATACTGAAATATTTTCCAGTATTCAGTAAACAGTATTCAGAAAATACAGGAAAAAGCCCTCTCCGTTGCAGCAGACCCTGGCAGCAGCCTGTGGGTTCTGGGTGGCTTGTTACACGGGGCAACACCATTTTTTGTGGATTATCGTGAACTGCCCAGAGGGCTCCAGCCACCTTGGTCAGGTTCACACTGCATGACTACACTGCTGGGAATAATTCAGCCGGTGCCCCTGGAGTGCAGCTGGCATGGACAGCATAGTTGATGGGCCGTCTTAGCTTGCCGTCTGCCTACCAATGGAGTGAACTTGGTCTTAGAATCTTGTTATCCTCAGTGTCCTGTTCCAAATTCCCAGTTTGTTCGAATGCTCTTGTTTTTCTGGAGGCTGGCAAAGTATCAGGTTGTGGCCATTGTGGAAGAAAGCGGATGGGTGATTTTGGTATGTTCCTGGTTTGTCCACGTGCTCATGCCGCAGGATTCCGGTCGCTCCTCTGTGCATTGGTCACTGGTCCAGAACAACTGTGTTCTTGCTGTTGGGAAAGTGGATTACATAACTGCCAAGGCTGCTCCATTAAATCGTTTTTAATTTATATATTAAATGTATGCCCTAACTCTGAGAGGACTTGACCAGCTAGCACAATACAATTGTATATGCATGTGTACATATGCATGAAATGACGCGTACACCATGGATTAAAAGCAGAAGTGAAGCAGTGCAAAAACCCAACTAAAATAACAGCAAAGGGCATGTGCACGAAACAGCAATGCGATCTTGCCACTCCAGCGGGCTGCTGCGAAGGCCCACTGGCCCCATCTGCACTGATCTCAGGGCTAAACCAGAGTTGGCCAGATGGGCGGCCCTTAGTGGAGATTCTGTGAAGAGGTCGTCTTCCTGCCCAAGCAAGCTGGGTGCATCACCCAGCAGACTGGAGATAACCAAGGGTCCCGCATGCATCCAGATGATTTCGTATTTTGAAGACCGTAGTTCCCTGTGGTTGTTCAAGGGAATCCCCTTGTTTCTCAAAACTCCTTGTGCAGGTCAAGACACCCCTTCTGAAGCAGAGGACCAGTAAGGGTCCAGCGGAGGGCAACAAAAATGATCCAGGGTTTGGAAACACTCCCCTACGAGGAGAGAGAGAGAACTGGGCATGTTCAGCCTTGAGAAGGCTGAGGGGGGACATGGTATCCCTCTAGAAGGACCTCAGAGGCTGTCGGAGAGGAAGGCCAAGATCTCGCTGATGCCAGAGTGCAGGACACGGAATAATCAAGTCAAGCTGCGACAACCCAGATGCAGGCTGGACATCAGGAAAAGCTTCCTTAGTGTCAGAGCAATACGGCAGTGGGACCAGCTGCCTGGAGAGGTCATGGACTCTCCCGTACTAGAGACTCTCAAGAAGCTGGACAGCCCTCTGAGTGGGATGGCATGACTTGGTGTCCTGCAACAGCAGGGGGTGGACTGGATGGCCTTCCTGGCCCCTTCCAGCTCGACTTTTCTGTGATTCTCTGAGGTCAGCCCTCATTTGCTCTGAGGGGTATTTCTACTTCGCTGTGAATACTCAAGGACAAAATACGCACAGGACACATGAAATGTGAACCAGCCCTGACCAGCTCATGGCTTCTTTTTATGGTCCATCAAATCTGGGAAGTTCACTCTGCAGGATTCCCTTATGTCGTATTCAGAAGAGCGGTTAAATTTGCCAGCATTTAACGGGAGAGGCGGTGACAGCCATTACAGAACCTCAGGCTCCTGGGGTGGTGGGGCTTCCAAGTTATTCCTGCGGCCATTTAGAGCTTTCCTGAGCTATCCCAAAGAATGATGTATAGGATCTCCATATTTTCCAAGTGTATTTTTGGATACTCTGATGGAAAGAACATTGGTGCAGCCACTTCAGAAGTAGGCAGAAGGGAATGGAATGGAATGTATACAGAGAAAGATACCTATTTTGAGGCATTCCTTCTCACTTTTTAAAAATTATTATTTGATAGAGTTGCAGGAACTCTTTCAGCATCAAGCGCATTTGGAGTGCGTTTTGATGGCCATTTGGACATAAGCAGCTTGTGTTTGTGTACCTCAGATTTTCCAGTGGTCTAATTTTGCATTTTGGCAGGTTATGTGGGAGATTATGTGGATAGCTTGCAGACAAAAACTTGGAAAACAGGTTTTCTTTAGTAATGCTCCAGATCCTACTCTGTGAATTGATAGAGAATTAGACATGTGGAAAGGGGGTGGCTGAAAACTTAAAACATGAGAAGCCTTACCTGTCTAAAGACTTTGCTTTTGTATCTGCCACCTCTGCAAGCTCGTGATGGTTTCTCTGTACCAAAGGATTCCATTTACTCCCTTGGACAGCTTGAGCCCGTTGCCAAAGAGATCTTCCGTGCCTCCTTTCATAACGATGAGCAAATCGCTTTGGTTTTACGAGGAAGAAAACTGTAAAACATGATTGTATGAAGTTCTTGGCTCATTCCGGGGTGTTTGGAAAAGGGGTCCGCTGGCATAGCATCGTGAGTGCTTTGGCATTTATGCTGCAATGCTCAAGAATGAGGCAGTTGCCCAGCTCCTTCTCAGTTCTGAAACTGTCTTGGAGCAACTTGGCCACAGAGCAGGAACCAGCAAAGGGAGAGGCAGGGAAACCCTGCAATGATCGTGTTTCATTTGGCGACTTAGGCCGTCCAAAAACAGAAGATCCATAGTAGCGTAGGACACAAACCTGGCTTTATTCAGTCAGAAAAATGCTCTGCATTTAGAACTTCCATATATTATATTTAGTCAGAAAAGGTTGAGTGGTAACCTATGGCTATACAAGTTTTCCCATCTCTTCGCTTGGAAGTGGAAGTTCCAGGGGCGGAAGGGAAGTATTGTGATAGAGGCTTATTTCTTTATTTTTGCCACTAGATCAATACAGAAGAACATGTAGATGCAGATGACCAGGAGATAATTTCTTGGGACCGCAGTATTCCTGAAGATATAAAGAGGCAAATTCAGCCTAAATTGGTCCAAGCGGACAGTGTTACCATGTGGATTGATCCTTTAGATGCAACTCAGGAGTATACAGGTAACAGTAGTGAGTTAATTTTGGCCTGCTCTTTCATGCAGGTTCTCCCCTTCTAAAGTGATCCGTCACAGCAGCCGTTCCCTGTCATGAATGATGTGAACTCAGTTAAAATTAATTTTATATTAGAGTTAATATAATACAGAACAATGTTATCAAATGAACATTTTGGAAAAACAAAACCTAGCTGCTATTTTATTCAAGCATGGAAACAGTTTGCCTTAATTGTTGGATTGTGCAGCCAGTGAATAAAATGCTTGAATGGACTCATGGGCACCTGGAGTGAGACTTTTGTGCTTTGAAGCAGAAATCGTGTGAAGTACAAAGCAGCGATTACTTTAATCGCCTTACGCATAGCATTTTTCAGTCCAATTTATGCATTGATTCATCCCTGTAAATCATAATTGAACGAAAATTGTGGAGGCTTTATTCAGCCTGTCCTTGAAATGGAGAACGGTATTAAGACAACATGTTTTATAAATGCAGAATCGAAACGCTACAAGCCCCTGTATGTTACAATTGTAAAGCTCTATGAATTTACATTTAGGCTTTGTTGAGCTGTAACACCCAATGGTGTAAGTTTGGCGCTGCACGAGCAGGTTTTCTGCTATTCCTCTCCTCCTCGCCTTCCATTTGCTTGCTTCAATTAGTTACGCCCACTTCAGCGCAAATCAAAGTTTGCCATTATTTTCAAAACGCAACAATGAATTGAGGGGACACAAACAGTGTTGAGTATTTCTTCATGAAGCTTTTCTGTATGAACCAACTGCATAAATAATGTAATATGGAAATCTTCTGTATATTTTGCTAGTTTGGTTTTTAAAGATTTTTAGAGTAAGGGAAAGGCTATTTAGATTTCAGATTGAAAAAGACAGTTAAAAACAGGGGAATCTAGTTTGTGTTCAAAATGGTGACTTCTGTTTAAGTTTATTCTGAGCCACGTTTCTACTAAAGGGTAAACCCGGACTAAGTGTGGTCGTGTTGGCATTTATGCAAAGGTAAAAGGAATAAAATGTTTGAAGTCTGAATACCAGTCAAGTAGAAGCGTGGAAGGAAGACCAGGATTATACGCTTGGAGGGATACTGCTCAGTCTCGGTGTTGTATAACTTCTTAACATGGAATGGCTTTGGGACTTTCCGAGTTGGCTTATTACCTTGCAGAAAACGACAGTCAGGCCGCTTTGGATGGTTTGCTTTGCCTTCATGCATTTGAAGTGTGGGTCTTCTTCCCACTTCCCCTCCAGAGAACCTCCGGCAGTATGTCACTACCATGGTGTGTGCAGCTGTAGATGGAAAGCCAGTGATCGGAGTAATACACAAGCCATTTTCTGGATATACGGGTACGTGGCGCGTTTACGTTCAGCTCACAATGCTGTGAATAGTGGCTGTGGCTGCAGTTTGGCAGTGAAAAGAATGCCGCCTCCTGTGGTTGTCGAGTCGGCCGTGGGAGCCCTGGCGCCGCCTCCTGTGGCTGTCGAGTCGGCCATGGGAGCCCTGGCGGCGGTGGGCAAGGCCGTTTGGCCATACTGTCCCGCATCTTGGCCGTGAACCGGTCAGAGGGCCGCATCCCGGCAGGTCGGACACCTCTGCTTACCCTGAGGCAGCCAAGGGAGGCACCCACCGGGTCTCCCTGGAACTCCCCAAGGCATCTTTGCACTGAGGAGTCAGGCCAGCGACTTGCTGGCCAAGCAGTTCCCACGCTCGTTGGCGGGGAGGGCTGGGCAACCCGAGCGCGCTCACCTTGGGAGCTGGCGGCACCCACGTGCCCTGAACCAGCACAGAAGCCAGAACAGGTATACGATGATGCTTTCACTTCAGCTGCAGGCAGGCAGAAGAAAGGAAGACCAAATGCAAGGCCGATTGGTTTAATTTCGGGATTGCCCAGTAGCCAAAAGGCTCTTTTTGTTTGACCCTATTGCAGAAGCCACCGCTATGATGGGGTTGTCATGGATAGGACCCCTGGGGTGGGGGGCGGTTCATTCATGGGGCAGAGACGGTTTGCCAGCCCAGAGCAGCAGCTTTTTCACTTTGCTGATTTTGGTGATCCAGTGCAGACATTTAAAAAACACACGTGTGCAGGTTTTATGGGGAAGAGTGCAGGAATTGCCAGTGGATTTCCCTGTGTGTGTGTTTTAGCAGAAGCACATCTAATGGTGCAACATGGGATGGAAATAACCTCCTTTGGGAGAGGGGAGGAACTGGGTGGGTTGAACTCATCAGGAGCATTACCCCAGATCACCGGGACTGGGCCAGATTGCTGGTCCAGCCGTGCCAGTCCTGCCCACTGTGACCCAGGCCGGCTCTCCGGGATCTTGAAGAGAGACCTCTTCCCCCTGCCGGAGGTGCCACCAGCGCTCTTCCGCAGGCCAGTCCTGTGCTGTCCTTGTGGAATCAGAGGCACGCAGAGCAGGCTCTGGGGAGCAGCACTGAGTAACGCTTCCTCCCAGTTCCCTGTCTCCGTTGCGGAGCCCATGAGCGTGTTTTCATGGGAGGGTCAATAGTATTGCAAAAGAAACATGCAGGTGTGCCCTCGAATGGTGCAGGTCTTCTTGAAACCCGTTCTGAGTGGGAAAAGACTGGAGAGGGGAAGGGCACGAAGAGGCAAGAGTGACGAGGAGCCCTGCCTTGTGAAAGGATGTGTCAGATTCCGGAAGGAATCATGGGCTCCCGGAAGCTGCACAGGGACCGGCCAAGCAACGCAGGATTCCACCTCGGCATCCCAGCTGCTGCCGCTGCCAGGCGGGGTGCGGGGGCGTGGGGGGCATTCCAGCAACGCTCTAACCAGAGTTGTCTGTTTGCAGCCTGGGCGATGGTCAAGGGCGGGTCGAACATCAAGCCGCGCTCGTCCTACAACGAGCAGACGCCCACCATCATCGTCTCCCGATCTCACGAAGGGAAGGTGAGGCAGGTCGCGTCGCAGTCGTTTGGAAATGAAACGAAAATCATTAAAGCCGGAGGATCAGGTTTGTTACCATCGCTCTTTCCTCCCCCGTTTTCTTTATTTGGGGGCGAATTATTCACGCAGATGGCATTGGAAATAGGCCGGGAGTGAGACGTCTCGGTTATCCAGCATGGCGAGGTTGTGTGTGATGCATTCATGCTTCATAAGTACATGAATTCATGAGAGGAGGGAGGGAAGGATCCCTATAGATGGAAGGAAGAGAGGAGAAAGGCACGGCAGCGCCCATGTGTCTGCAGAAAAGGGGCCTCTTGACTTGTAGGGGATTTATTCTCTTAAGTGTGTGTAGGATTGCGGCATGAATATGCAAACTGGGTGAGGGAGGCTTTAGATTTTCACTAAACAGGGTGTTTTCTAGGGACCAGCAGCTTTGGAGAGGAGCCCCAAATGGTTGGATGACCAAGTAATGCAAGCGCAATTAAGGGTTTAAAGAGCAGGAATGTAAAGGGCAGGTTGACCACTGTGTGAACAGAACGCTGCAGGAGGAGGGGGGACCCTCGGTCTGATCCGGCCTCGGGGTTTATGTTCCCAACAGTGATGGTAAGATTTAAAATGCAAATGGAAGAGGATACTCCAGACAAGAAAATAAGTACATGATGAAAACTATCCACAAGACATTGCTCATGGTTGATTAACGTAAAGTAACTGCTTTCTTCCTTCTGATTGATTGATTAATTAATTAATTAAAACATTTCTATGCCGCCCCTTGCCGAAGCCTCGGGGCGGCTCACAACACAAAATAAAATACAATAAAATACAAAATAAAGTTAGCAATATAAAATAACAATATAAAAGAAGTCGCCCAATATAAAAGAAGTATGCAGTTAATAATAGTCCCATGCAGAATTCCCATGTAAGGTTTTCTCATGGGTTCACCTGCTTATATATTTACTTTTTTGCTTCTGTCCTGCTCTACTGTTGCCAGAAGTACTATACAACACTCACATAGTAGAGTAAAAACCAAAACCTTTCTGTAATACTTTCAATAAAATCTTAAAACCGATCAAATCAGGTACATCTTTAAAATCTGTTGCCGCATGCTTTAATAGGCTAGAAGGCTCATTTAAAGAATAAAGGGCACCAGAGGCCTTTCCAAGGTTGCTGGTCACGAGTGGTCAGCAAAGCGAGGGCTGGAAAGCACCAAGCACCGGGCCTGTTATCCCCATCCCCCCGGGCCACATACCACTTCCTGGAATAGTCCGAGATACGCTGCAATCGCAAAGGCCGTGCACAACACAAGCAAATTATTCTGAGCAAAGACTTCCTGTTTCCTGCGTCAGCAGACTTTCCACATACCTGCTTCTCAAGGTGGAGAGCCCCTGGGCGAGCTCCCCGTGCATTTCGGTAACCATGTGGTTGCGGTGATCCGGGAACTCTGCCCCAATGTTCTCGTTGGAGATGGCACTTCCTTTGTGTTTGTATAATTGCATCGACAGAGTGTAAAGACGAACAGAGAAAGAGGCTGTTTTTCATTAAGGTTTCCACTGATTTTTTCAGTTGTGCAACTCAGCCCAAAATGTAAGCAAGTGCAGGAATGATCTTCATGTGTATTGGCATCTTTCAAATTGTGCTACATACAGTAAGCGACTCAACGAGCGTGCAGTTGCTCCGTGCGTGACGGCATCCCTTTCCCCCTTAGGATACAAAGTGCTGTCGCTGCTGGATGTGCCCGAGGCGAACCAGGAAAAGGCCGATGTGTACATCCATGTCACATACATCAAGAAGTGGGACATCTGTGCAGGCAATGCGGTGCTGGATGCCTTGGGAGGTCGGATGACCACCCTGGCTGGGGAAGAGATCAACTACACCGGCTCCGACGGCAACGAAGGCGGGCTCATAGCAAGCATCAACATCAACCACCGGGCACTGGTTGAAAAGCTCGTTCGGGACAAGTCAGCGCAGAATTAAGGGCTGAAGAGCGCGCGAGCCGCCCGCACTTCCGTGGACCCTCAGAACGCCTGTTGCAGACGGAAGGAGGTGCCCTTGAGCACAAGAACACATTGGGAGGAGCAAATTCAGACAGCGGTGGTTTCTCGGGGGGACCATAAATCACCACAGTGTTTAGAAGCAAGATTACTGGGACCCACACTGTCCTTCGTCTCATTGTCAAGTTCTTAATTTTTGAGACTTGTGTCTCGCGTGCCTAACACAGCTGAGAAATCCAGATGGCTGCTCTTAACAATGGAAGCACATTACAAATTAGGCTCTGGTAAAGCTGTACACTTTGTTCTGGTACTCTTTGCATTGTCTGGTCACTTAAAGGAAAACGGTTACTTGAAATCCGGGGATAGATATTCTCAATTCTTTTGGATTACAGAGTCTACAGAGGCTTAAACATCTTCATGTGTCAGGTGTTCATCCTGGGTACAATTTGAAATGGTAAAGGATACGTTAGGATCTATTTTTAATTTACCTGAAGTTTCAAACCAGCTTAATGTGGGTGGGAGTGTTAATATTTGTGTAGTTTTCTTATAACATCCTTTCTGTGTATTGTTTAAAAGAAGATGTGTTCCCCAGTACCGTTTCAGTTGTTGAATATTGCCAGTATAAACTGTCGAGTTTCTTAAATATTTAACATTTGGTGTTAACCTTACAAAGCAGTCATCTGTCTCAATCCTTTTTTAAGATACCTGATGAGAGAAACTCAGATTTTTTTTTTTTTTTTTTTGGCCAACATAAATTCTTACATCGTGTGACACTTTTTACAGGGAAACCGAAGTGTCTTGGCAGCTGTCCTTGCTCCAGCATTGTAGAGTTCTCCTTTAAAAGACGCTCCCCGGTTTTTGGTTTGCCAGTCTGGAACGCTCTCTCGACGTGCTCCTTGGCACTTGCACCCGGGCTGCGGAAGCGGTCAGGGCTTCCGTGTAACTGACCGCATGTGGTCATCCCTTCAAATTCGTCCTGTTGAAGAAAGCTACATCTGTGTTTAATGCAAAACACTCAAAGCCTGTGAGGAGCATAGGGGGCAGTTAAAAGCAGCTCTGAAAACTGGGTGTGCACCTTGAAAGTTAATTGGTGTAATTCGTCCAGCTTTGATCGCATGGCCCTCAGTTCTCTTGTAACCAGCAAGAACCCTGGAGCTTGGGCCTTTTAGGTGGGCGTGTGCCATGCAGACTTGCGAGCTCAGGCTTCCCTAAACAACTCAAATACCAAATAATAATAATATCAATAACGAAAGAAAATATACTGTATTTGAAGCATACTCTGTTCGGTCACAGAAAGCTAGTTGAAGGTCAGAATAACAAAACAGTGTGTTTTATCTAACTTACAGAAATGTTTCATTTTCTACTGTACTACAAAGATTCTTTTTCTTGGTGTTTTGGGTAGTGTATTGACTTAATTTGATCATTTTAGGAAACCGGTGATTTGTCAAAAAAAGTGCAGTCCTACACATGTCTACTCAGAAGTAAGTCTCATTATTTTCAGTTGAGCTTATCTTTGCCTGGTTGGTAATACTAGTTAAAAATTATTCTGAAAATAAGTGCTGGGAGGCATGTTTCCTTTAGAAATGTTCCCATTGTTAAATTTTATTGGAATGCCGTTTTCCTTTTCTAACCAATTTATTCCATGAACATGTTAAAATGAGACAGACACTCTCTTTTTCAAACTACTGATCTGCAGTTCGGTTTTCTGGAGCAGCACATTTTGACAAAGGACTATTTGAAAATTAAATGCTTTACAAATGGATTCTCATTCTTGTTCGCAGTACCAATATCTCAGAAGTACCACGCTTGAAGTCACCGATGAATATTGCTCGCAGGGGGTAGGGTGGGGGGTGTAATTCCACTTCCTGTGGCATTAGGGTCATTCTTGGAAGCCTGAATTGTGCCTCATTATTGCTGTTTAGAAACTGAGCTCCTGAACAGGAGAACGTTGACCTACCTTGGAGGATGCATATGTGGTCTTTTTGAGCTTCTGAAAACTTCTCAGACCCTTTAAAACTTTCCAAGAATGTGCTTAGGCCTGTCTAGTTCTGTTTGTATCAGTGCGGAGGGGCTGGCGGGATGCACCCTTACGCTAGAGGTGAAGACCGCAGTGCCTGCGTAGCCACTGGCTCAGCTACCATGTTTTCATTTAACCGTGGTTGAGCTTGGTTATGAAAGAAAAGTCATAAAGTGCCAACGACAAGTCATAAAGTGCTTCCTTGAAGTGAAAAAAAAAAAAGATTTAATAGGGAATGAAAAAAAAATGTCTGTTGAAGTTGCTAGGAGGCACGGTAAGAACACGTCTTCTATCCCTGAAATAGTGTTTGCTATTATTTGCGGTTTCAGACATCTGCTGAGGGGCTTGGAAGCTTTCCCCACGGATACGGGGTCCTGCTGTAATGGGTTTTCTTCACAGTCGAAGGCCCTTTGGGAAAGGGATCGCTGTTCAGTCCCATGCAGTGGTAGCTTCTGGTAAACAGACAGTGGACAAATGGTTGCTGGTGAGGGATTGGGGCGGGCAGGCGGGCTCGGCTCTCTCAGTCCCCTTTGAGCTGTTAACAGGCAATACACAGGACCAGAAAAGCCGCCGTCTAAGTGATCCGCACCTCTGCTTTTGCCCTGTTGCGGAATGCCAGCAGGGGGAAGTTGTGCTAAGGCAAAACAATGCCCAGTGCTAAATTTGGTGTTTTGGGATAGAACAGGACGGGACTGTGGGGGCTGCAAGGTTTTCTGGCTTCAGCCGTAGACGCTGCGTGTGTACGAAGTTCCTAGCAGAGCTCTTCGGCACGGCCCCAGCTGCAGATGAGTCGCTGCTTTGGGCAGAAGGGCTGGGTGTGTGACCCATGGCTGGCTCAAAAGAGCCAAGGGGAGAAGGAGCCCCCTCCGGGCGCCCGGTGGCCCCAAACCGCCTGGGCTGCAAAGCATCAAGCTTGGGGCTTGCAGCGTTTTGCTAATCGGGGGAGCAGTGGGCCTGTCGAGGTGCTCGGTTTGTGGCACATGTGCCACTCCAGACAGGGCACAGGCTGACGCTCAGGTGTTACGCAGGGCCAGGCCTTATGCTTCTGCAGCGTTTATAGCTGTTCACACAAAACAGACCGTGGAAGAGACGTGGAACAGGAGCGGTGGCTTCGGTGTGCTAAACTTACGCACCTGATTGCCAGTTTCCTACCCTTCCATCCCAGGATTATGTGTAAGTTAAGTCTTGGAGTTACTTGCAAGAATCACACTCCCGCTATATTAATTTTTTTGTTACTTTTCAACTCTTAAGTGTCCGTGTGTGGATGCCAAGATGTCAGCAAGTTGCCCGGGGGCCGGGGCCCGTATCTGCCGCACACCACCCATGCCTGGCCCCCACACCCTCCTGTCCGGGCACAGGAGACTGCCTCCTAGCCTCCCGTGGGGAGCTGCTTCCCAGGCCCGTTGGACTGCAAAACCCATTCCCTGCTGACATGACCAATGGCAGCGCTCTCTGAGGATGATGGGAGTTGCAGTCCCAGTGCATCTGGAGGGGACCAGGTTGGGGGTGGTTGTTAAAGTTGCCTTCATGCAAACCAAGTGCCTCACAGGACACCCTGGCCCCAGCAGATGGAGGGAGTGCAGCTTTCCCGGGGGGCTCGGTCCACTGCTCCCCGCACTCTCCTCCAAGGACCCTGCATGCTCTTCCATTGCACCTGTGAGCAGTTCGACCGGAGGGAGAGTTCGGATTTCCCACCTCAGCCCAGCCCCACCAGGCCTTCAATTTCCCTCTCCTCCCTCACCTCGAACTGATTTGGGGCACTTCCAGACTTCGGTGGGCAGGGTGAGAACATGTCCTCAGCCTCGCTCTTCATTCCCTCCCTTTTCCCTCGCCCCCACTGCCTTTCCACAGGATTCAGGAGAAAGGGGGGCTGCCCATGTTCTATTGCCCTAAAAGGCACCTTGGACATGTCAGCTGGCTCCTCGGTTTGCTTCCCTTGGCTCAGAGAGGACAGGACAGGAAAGCATTCCTTTGGGGGCCAGGAACCTGCTAGCCTTCTCATCCAGCAAGCGAGGAGTGTTGAGCTGAACTGGAGCAGTCTCTTCCAACCCATTGCCGATCTTTTAGGGAACAACACGTGGAAATGGCAGAGTTTGGGAACCTTAAAGACGCCACCTGTATTCTGGCATCAGCTTTTGTGGGCTGTAGTTTACTCCAACGGACATGGAGGGTTACTGAGAGCTCCAGGTTTTTATATAGTACCCAGGGAGGCGAGGAGGGGTGAAGAAGGGTGAAAAGTGGGGTCCAAGGGAAATGAAACGCAGAATGTGGGCATCACGGCAGTCATTCTCTGGCCATACGCAGCCGTGGAGGTTGTTGCAGCAGGTGCCTTCAAACAACAGGGTTTAGTGTTAACTTTTCTACCCTGCTTTATTTGCAAATAAAAATGCATCAAGGCCGTGAATAGCCAATGCACAAGAGCTTGATGCACTGAGAAGATGATTTAAAGTGGGAGAGGTTATAAGAGCGACATAACTTCAAAGGCACTGCAGTCCAGCTCAGTTCGTTAGTCCTTCACGAACCCTCAAACGAACCGCAAAAGTCCACAGAGTGGCAGTGGCTTGTCATCAGATTAGTAAGTATTCCCACCAAGAACTGTATCTCACTTGTAACATGCTCAGCAGCTTCCATAAGCCCCGGAGTTTTTCCTTTGGAAAATGAGGGGACTGGGGAAGAAAACACGGTTCCTCTGCTGCCTCGTGTTTAGGGGTCTAAAGGGTTTTCCCTTTGGGCTCCTTTAAATTTTTGAAGTTTATTTTTTTGAGGCAATCCACAGTCAGCTGCACTGCAGATGTGGACAATCGGAGGGTGTTGGACTGAAGTTTTATAATTTGGTGGCAACACAGAAACAATGCGTGCAAATATCCTCAGAGGTACCTTGGACAGCTCCCGGATCTCTGCACCAGCCAAGGCGGATTCAGTAGATAAGGAGTGCTTGTACCAGATGCACCCTTCACGATGCTGTTATTTAGCCTTTGTGCAACATTTTGCTCATATGGACTATTTTTAAAAAATCAAAACGAGAAGTTTGAGCCATGCGTATACGACACACGGGAACATGATTTCTTGAAAGAGAGTTGGGTGGGCTTCTGTGCTTCCATTTCCCTCCACTCATGCTTGCTTGCTGTTGAAGGCCTTTTAGCAGTATAGGCAGAAGGAACGCGGAGCCGAGTCAGATCGGTAACGAAAGAAACAAGCTGTGTAAGAATTCCGTGGAGTCGGTTCATCGAGGCAGCTGGTTCCAGACTAAAGAGGCTTGACTGAAGCCCTCCCCTCCCTGGCCAATGATCTCTCCGGTGCAAGCCTTCCGAGCAGTTCTTTGTTTGGGGGGGCCAGCTCTGATGTTCTTCACCTTGACTGATGGCCCTTGGGACTGCCGTCGCTCTCCGTCCCTCCTGACCACTCCAGGCTTCCCAAGGTTACAGGAACAGTTTGACTTCTTCCCCCCTCTTCCCTTATCTCGGTCTCTCCTGTTCCTGGCTCCATTCTCTGCTTCCCAAACCTTCTGTTCATCTAAATTAGGATCAGTGCTTACGCCTCTTTGAACCTCCTCCACAGAACTAACAGTCCCAGTTCACTGGGAAGGCTGTTGCTTTGACTGCTGCCAGTCGTCAAAGAGTCCGACGTGGCACAAGGCAGCCTAAGATGGCTTGGACCGGCAGCCTCGCTGAATGAGATCACCGTGTTACGAGAGGCGTCATCCAGGAAATCAAGTGGGTGCATTGCAGCTACAAAGAAGGCCTGTCCTGGATTCATCTCGCCTACCTACTTCCCAGCCGGTCTTACAGGCCACCTGCCGTAGGCACACACACGCCTAGGCTGAAAAGCTGGGCCAGGTGCTGCTCCCAGGGGTAGTTGCTCTTCAACGGGGCACCGCTCGTTCTGTCTGTTCCACTCCTCAAACTCCTGTTTTGCTCCTGCTGCTGCCTGTGCAAAGAATTGCCATGAGCAAAACTCTCTGCGCTGGAATTGCCGTTCTCTGTTGGGTTTTGGCTGGTAAGTCTTGGAAATGGATTGGATTCTGCTTTTTATATACTTGCACATTACATGCCAACCTCCACAAACTAGTACCCTCCAGATGGGTTGGATGGCGACTCCCCTGTTGTGTGGGGATGATGGGAGTTGCAGTCCAACACATCCGGTTGAGGAATGTTTTTCTGGATGAAGTCAGTCGGAATGCAGTGCTTCCGCTCCTGGGCAAGCGTCTCAATGGACTGTTGGACTGTTTAGATTCCCCTTCCAAAGTCAGGCATGAATCCAGCAATTCAGATTCCTTCCCTGCCCCGTTGCAGCCAGCATGGAACGAACCACGTGGCCGCACTGCAAGGTTGGAGCAGCAACCTCGGAGGAGAAGGAAAGTGGCGTTCCAGAGGCAGGGAGGAGAGGAGGGCCGGCCACGGGTTGTCCTGCAGTCCTCACCCTGCTTATCCAAAGCAGCCTCACTAGGCTGGCGAAAAAGCCCTTCCGGCAAAATCTCAGGGCCTCTTGATGTCCCAGGATTCAGGCCATCAGGAATGGGTGCAGGCTAAAGAGCAGATCAAACCGAAGCCAATCAGCAGTGGGATTAGAGAAATGCAGAGCGTGACGATGGCAGCCTCCAGCTTCAAAGCAGAACCGAATGCTTGCACCCTCCTCCCACTGGGAACCCCTTCAGGATCACAGCACCTGCCTCGAGCTTCTAAGCTGGGAGGACTGGACATTTCTACAGCCTGAGGAAAGGAGCCTTCACAATGGGCAAGTGGCTG